CTTAGTTGTGCTGTCTTGGTCAGCAGAGCCATGGGGAAAAAAATTCTTGCTTTTTCTGTATTTCTCCGGAGTTGACCTCTAAATCTTATTTAAAATGAAGAAGAGGAAAAAAATAATAGCAGCCATTAAAAAAAATGTAGAAGGTGTTTGCTGAAGCAGTAAAAGCTGTCAGGTTGTTTTATTCCCTTTTTTCTCAGATGAGATAAGTCAGCTTGAAAGATTAGGAGAACTCGAGCTTTATGCCAGCTGTTTCAGGTTCCTTTATTTATTTGCTTATGATGTACTTTATTTTTCAAGCAGAAGAACTGAAAATCGGTAGAATGAAATGGTTGCTGTTCATTTGAGGAAGATACTGTCACGCACAATCCGTATTTGTTTCCCTGATGCTGCAGCACAAAGCGCTGTCTCCTTGTGCGATGAAGCACTAGGGGCTGAGCCTCGCTGAGCTGGGGCCTCGCCCGCCCTGTGCTTCCTGAGGTGGGTTTGATTCCAGTGTCACCCCCCTCACTCACCGCTGCCGCTCCCCTCGCCCGGGGTCTGTTTCTCCTGCGAAGCTCTTGTACCCGAGTGCTGTTGTTTTCTGTAGACAAGTTGTGGCAGATCTTTGGGAAGCTCATAACAGTGTCTGCCCAGGCCTTTGCTTTCTGAGTGTTGTTTTATCAGATTTTCTGAACTTCCAGCGAGGAAAAGATATGCAACTTTGTTATGCTGAAATAAATCCTGTTGCACTGGTGTGTGTTATGTTTAAATTAACATAACCTTGGTCAGCTCATTTGATTGCCACGTGTACTGTTCACTGATGATCATAGAATCATAGAATGGTTTGGATTGGAAGGGACCTTAAAGATCATCTAGTTCCAACCCCCCTGCCAGCAGCAGGGACACCTTCCACTAGACCAGGTTGCTCAAAGCCTCATCCAGCCTGGCCTTAAACACTTCCAGGGAGGGGGCATCCACAACTTCCTTGGGCAACCTGTTCCAGTGTCTCACCACCCTCACAGTGAAGAACTTCTTCCTTATATCTAATCTAAACCTACCCTCTTTCAGCTTAAACCCATTTCCCCTTGTTTTGTCATTAACTGCCCTTATGAAAAGTCCCTCCCCAGCTTTCTTGTAGCCCCTTCAGGTACTGGAAGGCCGCTATAAGATCTCCCCGGAGCCTTCTCTTTTCCAGGCTGAACAGCCCCAAATAAACTAAAATTCTTTATTAAATACAGAAGACTACTAACAAAACAAAGCTCTGTAAGGCTAAATATAATTGCTTTATTTTAAGACTATTTTTATTTTCACAATAACAGATTTTTTTAAAAATATGGGATAATATTTTACTGAGAGAAAACCACCAGTGTTCACATCCTGTCGTCTCTTTAAGCAGTAATATTGACATTTATGAAGGCTGATCACTTGCATTTTCTGTGTACAGAAGGGTTTCCTGGGCCACGAGGTGCAGACTAGTCTAGTTGGGTATGATAGCAGGAGTACTTGAATGTGACCTCAAGATATAAACAAGAGAACCAGTTGTCTTGAACAGAAATTTCAGGATAGCTTAAAGTAAACATTAATAAAAAGTAGGATTTAACTAGGACATTTTTTGACAGAAATAAATCTACAAATCATACATGCATACGTTACTCAAATTTTGCTCATTAATTGTAATATTCCACTGCCACTAAAACAAACCGGTGGCTTTAAATTTGATTCTCAGGCTTCTAACATCCACATTTTGCTTTTAAGAAAAATTTGTTAAGTTTGGTGTAATACAAGAGGCAGATTGTCGGGCAGAGGCTCTGGCCCGTAGCACCTGCTCTTTCCTTTCCTCCCCAGAGCAGCAGAGGTCCCGTGCCTCCAGCCAAGATGGGAACTCTCCTCTGCTTTCTAGAGTTAGCCCAGAAACTTAATTTCCTCAGTATTTAATTTCATGATGATAAATTGTTGCCGAGTATACCTGTGAAAGCACAGTTATTTTTCATGCTAACAGCCATGATACATTAAAAAATAACTTGTTTTGTCTCTAAAACCTCTCTTCAACAAATTGAATGTCTTGATTTGAATCTTTTTTTTTTTTTTTCTGAATCAGTGATACTTTTTGACCTTATTGACAGTTTGCAATTCTTTATTTTCAGTGGGCTCAAACCATTCTAATTTTTCAGAATTGCTATTGCCAGACACTTGCTCAAATAACTCAGTGTGATTTTAAGTGGGTTGAAATACAATATTTGGCATCAAACCTCTTTCTAATGAAATCTGGATAAGAGCATCGTGTACTTGTTGCAGGCAGACTTTGTGAATTGTTTGTTTCTTTCGTTGCAGTTTCCAAAGGAGGGACTGTGTTCACTTACAGAAGAAACAATTTAATGCCTTCTTCACTGGATCACATGTTCTCAGAACAGGCCTTGATGGGTCCAGGCTGTTCTTTGCAGCCTGTCAGTTGGCATTTTCCAGCAATGTAGAAGTAGGACCACAGAATGGTTTGGGTTGGGAGGGACCTTCAGAGATCATCTAGTCCAACCTCCCTGCTATGAGCTGGGACCTTTTTCCACTAGACCAGGTTGCTCAAAGCCTCATCCAGCCTGGCCTTGAACACTTCCAGGGCTGTCCAATCTAAACCTGCCCTCTGTCAGTTTAAAAACCTTTCCCCTTGTCCTGTCTCTACAGGCTGTGGTAAAAAGTGTCTCTGCCTTTCTTATAAGTCCCTTGTAAGTATTGAAAGGCTACATAAGGTCTCCCTGGAGCCTTCTCCAGGCTGAACAACCCCAACTCTCTCAGCCTTTCTTTGTATTTATATATATATATATATGTGCTGGTTTTTCTCAGCTTTTCTTCATATACATTTGCTTCTTTTTCTTAAGGTATCCTAGATTGCTTAATACTGAAAACTTCTTATAAGCAAATTATCTCTATGGGATACAAAAACTAAATTACATATTTTGCTGTATTTCATGCTCCAAGAGTAAAATAATATGTCATATTCTTGCAATGTATTTTATGCTGGCTTCTTAAAATATCTATAGTCTGGCTACTTGATAATAAAGTAATGCTATGAAAAAATACATACAGTATTGTGTCACTCTTAATTAAATACAAAAGTGTTAATAATACCCCATGCTTTAAGCTGCTTCAATTTTAAATTCTACTAAACAGGAGCCCACCTGCTCGTTGTCCCCACCTGGCTGCTGTCTCTGTTACTTCTCAGTGCAAACCCTTGGTTGCTCTGTTTCTGCCTGCCAGCTGCGGGCACTCGGCACCCAGGGGACAGCCTCGGAGCTCAGGCAGTCGAGAGGATATTCCTTTTGTGACAAATCCAAAGTGCCAGTGCGCACTGCCAAAGATCCCGTGCCCCATTTTGGGCTGGTAGGCTGGGTACAAACCTTTCCCTGAGCGTAGGTAGACTTGTGGAGAACATCTTGATTGTTTTTGTTTTGCTGGACTAGTTAGCTTTCCCTCAGTTAACATGGGTAACAGCGTGTGATGCTGATGTAGGGAGACTCTGTTTCTTTTCTGTCTTGGTCCCTCACCTGGGAAATCTCAGGAACAGAGTTATGTGCCTTGTCCATGACTATTCTGTCTTTGTTAGGCTTTGTTATAGATGTTCTCAGTTTTCTCATGGTTACTTCGTGGGGCATTTTTGAATTAGCTCATCGTGGTGCGTGTCACTCTTCTGAAGGCAAGTGTTCAGGCTTGTTGGCTGTGAAGCAATACTGGGTCTGAAGTCTTCTCTGGTCCAGCCTGGTTTTCTTATTATTGCTTGCTAATGAACTGGTAAACCTTAATGCAGATGAAAGGGACAGACTGTTTTTCAGCAGAGCCTGAACGCTGTTGCCTGTGATGTGACGTCATGGGCTCTGCAGGGTGTTTAATTGAGATCTCCCCCTGGCAGCAGCAGAATTGGGACAACTGGCAGCAACAAATTTACTCATAGTTGGTTTGCTTTTTGGGTTGTAAGAAGTGAAATTCTCGAACTTTGAGCTGTTGTTTATAGCTGTCAAGAAGAGGAAAGGAGGAAAAGAACTTTGCAGGGTAGGTTGAAATCAGAATTCCCCTGCGGGAGGTTAGAGCAGGTTCCCTCACAGCATCGTGAAAGTGAGTAAAGCCCTGGAGTCTGAGCATGCTACAGAGCCTACAGTCAGCTGGTGATGCCAGGCTTTGTCAATCTAGGAACTAGAGTTCACTTTCTCCTTATCTTTGTGCTTACGCTGTAAGGGAATTTGGGCAGTGTTCCCCTTCTTTGTAGTTAGATAATTACATGAGCGGGGGGGAGGGACATCCATGGTTTGAAATTAATGTGGAAGATGGATTAAGGGATCCTGTTTCTATGTAGTTGCTTAAAAAGGTAACTGTTTCTTGCACTTTTTCCAGTAAGCAAGAGTCAGAACTTTCTACCTAACCATCATTAATGAGGTGGCATCCTTAAATTTCTGGTCTGTAGTTCTTATGTTTAGTCTGCTCTTCAGTTTGTCAGAGTTCTTTATTAGGCATTAATTCATGATGCACATGAGGGCACCTGGCAGGAGTGCCTCCTTTGGAATAATAATTCCTTCTTTGGAATAATTAAGGGAGTAGTCATGTAATAGTCATGGGAGGTGTCAGGATAAAGCTTTCCAGCAGTTGTTTAAAGATGCACATGAAATCCTTTATGATAAAATGTTGAAGTTATTAGTCTTGTACATCTTGTATTTAAAGTGTGAAACTCTGTTAATGACACCTGTTTTCCATCGTGTCTTTGATGCAGCTAATAATGTAAAACTATTTTAGTCCATTTTTCAGTGTTGAGAAGCTCTGTGACCATGTAACATATTTTTCATAACTTTGTGCTTGTATAACTCATTTAAGGTTTATTCGCCGTGACTAATTTATGTTGTGTCTTGGCTTATTAACTCCAGTGAAGAAGCTGAAAAAGATTAGTTAGCTGAAAGGAGCTCTTCAAGAAATGTTCATGTATTTTTGTATGCAATGCATATTAATTTTTTTCTTTATTTTCATGTCTTGTACTTTTTCAGCTGTCAAACGTTTGATGAAAGAGGCTGCAGAACTGAAGGATCCTACAGATCATTATCATGCACAGCCTTTGGAGGTTTGTTTCTCTGTTTTTGCGAGAGCTTGTAATTAGGCTGTGCTATTGATATATACTCTAAGTTCTCTGTATGGATATGTATTTAAAATGTACATAATTAGATACTAGCAGACCTTTTAAAATTTGTTCAGTCCTTTTTTTCCTATGATGGAAATCATCAGCAGAATTCCACTTTAATGGTATTATAGTTCCAGGTCATTAGTGAAAGTACATAACATTGGTTTTACATTGCACCAGTGCAGTCTTACTGCACACGTATGATATGTTTGTTTCCCCTCCTCCTTCCTGAGACTACATAAATGCATTGTTTAAGTTAAGCTTTTTACACTCAAACCTGACATCTGACTCAGTTACCGAGATGCCCAACAAAACACTTAAGCCTAGGTAATCTATGAGAATTCACTATTTTGCATACAAAAAAATTGTGAAGAACGTAAAAGGGTGCAATTCTGGATGCATTTGAATAGAGAATGCTTAAATAATAGCTTCTTGAAATCTTCTAAACACCTAGTTAAGTTTTTGGGCTGAGAGGACAGTGAAGTTCTGGTGGTTAGAAGCTTAAACAGAAACCCCTTCTGATTTCACTGGAATAATAAAAAATACAGTGTTCTGTGGTATTCAGTTTGGGAGTTTAATTTAGCTGTTCACAGAAATATGTAGCACACTTAACATGCTTACAGAAAAGAGCATGTTCCTAGGTGCAATAAAATATACCTTACTATCGACTAGTTTTTGTCTAAACTTTGTGTTTCCACTTCCTGTGGTGAAATGTAAGGTTTAATTCATACTATTACTTGTAATTTACATAAAGGTCTTATTTCTGGGTTAGAACAGTGACTCACTGGGAAGAGAACAGTGGCAGATGGAAGAAAATGCTGACAGTTACCTCCCATCCTTGAGAACATTGTAAGTAGGTAGGCAGCCACAGCCCTGTGATACAAATGTGCAGCATTAGTGGAGAGCTCTCGTTTGCTGACAGCAAACCTCGTTTGGACTCCTGTTCTCACAGTAGGAGTTTTTCTGCTTGTAAATATTCAGGAACTTGTGGGCATCATGACATCTGATACGCAAAGCCAAACACAGAACTCCAAAAAAATAATGCTTAAAGAGAAGTAATTTGTATGTCCAGTGAAAATAATATTCCAGATTTCTCTGTCACTCCCCTCCTCAGCTGGACAGGGAAGAGAAGGTCTAACAAAAGGCTCATGGGTTGAGATAAGGACAGGGAGATCACTCAGCAATTACTGTCACATGCAAAACAGACTTGACTTGGGAAATTAGTTTAATGTATCAGTCAAAATCAGAGTAGGATAATGAGAAATAAAAACTAAATCTTAAAACAGCTTCCCCCCAGCCCTCCCTTCTTCCTGGGTTCAGCTTCCTCCTGATTTCTCTACCTCCTCTCCTGGAGCAGCACAGGGGGATGGGGAATATGGGTTGGGGTCAAACATTACTTCTGCCTCTCCTTCCTCTTCAGGGGAGCACTTCTCATGCTCTTCCCCTGCTCCAGTGTGAGGTCTCTCCCACAGGCTGCAGTCTTCCATGAACTTCTCCAACATTAGTCCTTTCCATAGGGTGCAGTTCTTCAAGAAGTACTCCAGTGTGGGCCCTGCACAGGGTCACAAGTCCTGCCTGCTCCAGTGTGGGCTTCCCACAGGGTCACAGCCTTCTTTGGGCATCCACCTGCTCTGGCATGGGGGCTGCAAGTGCAGATCTGCTCCACCATGGACCTCCATGGGCTGCAGGGGGACAGCCTGCCTCACCATGGTCTTCACCATAAGTTGCAGGGAAACCTCTGCTCCAGTGGCTGGAGCACCTCCTCCCCCTCTTTCTTCACAGACCTTTGTGTCTGCAGGGTTGTTTCTCTCACATAGTCTCACTTCTGTCTCTGGATTAAGTTGTGCAGTTTTTTTTCTTCCTTCTTAAATATGTTATCCCAGAGGTGCTATCACAGTTCCTGATGGACTTGGCCTTGGCCAGTGGTGGGTCCATATTGGAGCCAACTGGCATTGGCTCTGTTGGACATAAGGGAAGCTTCTGGCAGCTTCTCACAGAAGCTACCCTTGTAGCCCCTCTGCAACCAAAACCTTGCCATGCAAACCCAGTACATTTATGGAGAAGCAAAAGAGGATGGGATTTCTCTGTGTTGACTTGGGCACGGAAGGGGCTTTGGGGGGGCCGTCATTAATGTTTTTTCTTAGGGTGGGTCTCCCCTAGGTTCTCTAGAAATTATTGTTCACTGGGACAAAGGCTCAGTTTTCCCTTAGTTGATGCAGTTTTCCATCTGTTGGGAAATAAAATTCTTGTCATAACTGATACAAGCAGAGTGAAGAGCTTGAATAATGAATTTGAGAGTTTCAACAAAGTGTAAACAAAGTTTCAACATTGTGTAAGAAAATTACCAGAACGCCACAATATTCTATACTTTTAACCAGAATCTTAGTACTGTGTTGGTTGTCTTACTCTCCATTTGATTTTGACTTCTCAAAACTTCTGCTGTGCACTCTTTCTTTAGCCTGTCCTCGTTCAAGAAAATGGTGTTTAGTTGTCTACTTCTTTGACACACTCTTCCTTTTTTTTTTTTTTCCCTCTCCCTTTGGTGGGGGCATTTTAGGATAATCTTTTTGAATGGCACTTTACTGTTAGAGGCCCTCCAGATTCAGATTTCGATGGAGGGATTTATCATGGTCGAATAGTACTGCCACCTGAATATCCCATGAAGCCACCCAGCATTATTTTGCTGACGGTAAGCAAGTTTACTAGTTTTTTTCCTTCATATGTGATTGATTTAACCAGAGGTGTCTGAGAGAGAGATTCTTGGCATTTAAAGTAATGTTATTTTTGTAAGAAAGGTGGCATAGTATAGTTAATGCTGCAATTTAAGACCAGGATTCTTGCAAGATGACTTTACAGAATCAGAATGTCAGGGTTTGGAAGGGACCTCGAAAGATCATCTAGTCCAATCCTCCTGCCGGAGCAGGAACCTAAATGAGATCACACAGGAAGGCGTCCAGGAGGGTTTTGAATGTCTCCAGAGAAGGAGACTCCACAACCTCCCTGGGCAGCCTGTTCCAGGGCTCTGTCACACTCACTTTAAAGAAGTTCCTTCACAAGTTTAAGCGGAACCTCCTGTGTTCCAGCTCACACCCGTTTCCCCTTGTCCTACCATTGGGCATCACTGAGAAGAGCCTGTATGCTGTAATCACATGAAGCTTTGCACCTAGTAAATGGAAGTTTTCTCCAAGACTAATCACATTGCTGATGTGATTGTCTAACCTCCTGTTCTCTCCGTGGGCTCTCTTGGTCTCTGTTGGAGACATTGGTCACATATAGGAAGGCAGTCCTATGCTTTGGGGCAAAGGCCCATATTTGTGCACAGGTTCATAGAGCTGCAGCTTTTCAGGCTCTCTGCATGTGGTGTGTGGGTTACAGGAGCAACAGGAAAGCCACTGTGTCACACTGGGACATGTGAGGTATCAGTTAAGGGTTTCTTCATGCCTCAATAGAGGCAGATGGCAGACTACTTTGTTCAGAAAGCTGCATGCCAATTTTATGAGGTTGGCAGTAATGTATTGTCAAATATTGTTTGTGTGTAGATTTGTTTGATGATGATTTTTATAACTTGTACCAAAACCCAAGAGTGAACTTCCAGCATGTTTTATTATATCCTCCTTCCTTTGAAGGCCAATGGCAGGTTTGAAGTGGGGAAGAAAATTTGTTTAAGCATCTCAGGGCATCATCCTGAAACATGGCAGCCTTCATGGAGTAGTAAGTAACAACTATTTGGAAATGTTACCTCATCAAGCAACTAGATCTTTGAACTGAAAAACATATCACAAAGAATGTTTATACATTTATACAGACACATGCACAGATTTTGAGGGAGAAAAAGTATGGGAGAATTTGAGAAATATAAAATAATGAAAGAGCAACATAGGATTTGGAAATGGTATTAAACAAATGCAGGGTGAAAGGATTGAGAAACTGAGGGGTGATAGTATTATTTATTTAGATGCACAAACATTAAGAATTCTCAGAGCACTTAAATATTCTTTGGTTTTGTTTTGCTGCTTTTTAAAATTTGTTCTTATGAAAATATTTTAAATCCTGTTACTTTACCCCATTTTGTATAATCACTAAAACCAGCTTGAATATTGATAGAGGGGAGTGTGGTCAGCTTTTAATTCTGATTCTCTGCTTATGAACACTCAAGAGGAAAGACTTGCTCCTTCCCCAGCATGGTGGGATAAGGGGAACAAATTCTGTGGTACTTTGCGTGAAAGAAAACCACTGAGCTTGTGTGCACTAAATTGCATAATTAGTGTCCAACATGAACATGCACAAAAAGAGGAATTCCTTCTGGATCCTCCCCTTCTTGCCGTCCCCATTTATATCTTAATTCAGAGCACCTTTTTAAAGTCTGGAACTCTAATCTTTATATTGATGCAACATTTTTGTCACAACTTTTTCTTCTCTTTTTTGGCTGATGGAAGAATAAGGCCTTACCTTTTATTTATAATATGAAGTTTAAAAAAAAGTGAAGAAAGCCTTGCTGTGTACAAAAAACCCAGTGCTGCTTGTATGAATTTCAGACTACTCCTTTGGGCAAAATGAAGTTCTGCAGGCAGAACTGCAACTTTTCTGTATTGAATTTAGAGTGAGATGACATAACAATTGTTTCTGCAGCCTTGTTTGTATCTCTGTTTTCCCATTTTAGTAAGAACAGCTTTGCTAGCCATTATTGGATTTATGCCAACCAAAGGTGAAGGAGCAATAGGATCTCTAGATTATACACCAGAAGAAAGAAGAGCTCTTGCAAAGAAGTAAGCACTAAGTTTGTTACTGTAGGTACATACATATGTATGCTCTTTTAGGGTAAGGCATTAAGCAGAAAGTAAGTCACTTCAGTCTGTTCTCTTGCATTTGTTCTAAATATTTAAAAAGTTCTATGCCTTGTTTATATTATTTTTGTTTCCTGAACATTGTGCAAACTTGGAACTTCTGGTCAAACAAAATACTTTGAAGGCTGTGTTTCTTCCAGTATTGTGTGGTCAAATTAGAGGTTTGTCTGAAATTCAGGCTTAGAGATGTAATTAACATTGTGATACAGCGGTAATTGCGGTGTGGAGGGAAAATGAGTATGATGGAATTGATAGTAAGTGTAAGTGGGGGTGAAAACAACCAAGACAATGGTGCATCATTTCCTTAAGTAAACAATAATAATGAAACAATGACAAAAAATCAGAAGCAGCTGCCTATGGATGAGTTTTAGGACGTTAACTTAAAATTAGATTAGTGACTATGATGAAATTACTAGCTTGGTGGACAAGGGGGAAGCAGTGGATGTTGTTTATCTTGGCTGTAGCAAGGCTTTTGGTTCTGTCTTCCTTACCATCCTCATAAACTCGTGAAGTACAGGTAAGTGGGGACAGCAAGGTGGATTAAGAACTGTCTGAGCTGCCTGACTCAAAGGATTGTGTAAAGCAGCTTGTAAGGAGAGGACCTGAGGGTCCTGTTGGACACCAGGCTGATCATGAGGCAGCGATGCACACTTGCAGCAAAAAAGGCTGGTGGTATCCTGGACTGCATTGGGCAGAGTGTTGCCAGCAGGTTGAGGGAAGTGATCCTTCCTCTCTACTGGCCAGACATCTGGAATGGTGAGTGTTGCCAGCGGCTGTGTCCAGGTCAGGGCTGTGTCCAGGTCAGGCTACAAGAAAGATACAGACTTACTGGAGCAAATCCAGTGCAGTGGCATGAAGGTGATTGAAGGCTTGGAACATGTTTCGTACAAGGAGAGACAAAAAGAGCTAGGAGTGATCAGCCTGGAGAAGAGAAGGCTCAGGGGATCTTATTCATGTGTGCAAATATCTGAAAGGAAGGCGTAAAGAAGGCAGAGCCAGGCTCTTCTCGGTGGCATCCAGTGAATAGGACAAGAGGCAATGGGCACAAACTGGTACCCATAAAATTCAGTCTGAATGCAAGAAAACACTTTTTTACTGTGAAGATGGTCAAAGCACTAGCACAGGTTGCCCAGAGAGGTGGTGGAGGTCCTTGGAGGTGTTAAAAATGTGACTGGAAATAGACCTGAGCAACGTGCTCTGCTTGACCCTGCGTTGAGCAAGGAGACTAGACGAAGTGATCTCCCAACCTCATCTACTCTGTGATTGTCCTTAAATGAAATCTTATACCTCCTGTGGAGTCTTTTGGCTTTCATCATGTAGGGAGGAGACGGTACGTGAAAGACCATATCCTTATGTTATAAGCAAAGTTACTGTATTCCAGATTGTAACTAGTACCTTATTTTGCAGGCAGATGTGAGCTTTTTCTGCCTGTACTCTGAGCCAGTCACGAGCTGCAGCTTTCCTATTAGCATGGCACTGAGTCAAAACTAATAAACACTGCTGAGAGGTAGGGTTTGGGGGGTTGGTCTTGATACTGTACTGTCAAGGCTGTGTGGTTTCTCCTTGGCTTGGAGAGCTGCCTGCAGTGTGCCCTAGAGACAGTTTATGTGTGAAGAGAGGAGAGGGAATGCTCTCACAGAAGCTGAAATTCCTGGATTTGAGGTGCAGGTTCCTGGGTCCAATTTAATATTTGTAACAATAGTTAGATCTTTATAAATTTAATTTGCTGCAGATGTAGAGAAAGTTTTAAAATGATAACAAATTATTAATAAAGTATTGATAATAGCAATATGTCAGTCAGTTGTTAATATTTTCCTAAATTATGTGAGAGAATATGTATTTGTAGTACAAATAACGATCAACATTTTTTTCAAGATGGTGTGTTTTTTGGGCAGGGGGAAGTACTTTTAAGCTACTGGTCTTGATACCATTTGTCTTCCTGTGGATTGTTTGTGAATAGTTTGTTCAAGCAAGCACACAAGAACATTCTGAGAACATGTTATTCTAAGCTCTGTCATTTGTGGCCAGGTCACAAGACTTCTGTTGTGAAATGTGTGGCACATCTATGAAGACAGCCCTCTTACCACTAACATCTGGAAGCGTATCAAGCCAGGCAGACAAGGAGGCTAAAGAACTTGCCAGACAAATTAGCTTCAAGGTGAAGTCACTCTTTAAACCGTTTTTTCTCTCTATTGTATAGAATTAAAAAAACCCTTTTAAATTGCAGAAACATTCATCATTTCATAAACCTTCATTGATCACTATGTGGAAACCTGGGGTTTTTTAGGACAGTCTGAAGGAGAAAACCAGGAGTGGATCTCTTGCAATGTGCCAGTTAATAAATTGTGCAGGCACTGATTGATTAGTTTTAATTTCAGTGGTGAGCACTGTGGTAAGAACTGCCTAACTGTGTTGCTTTTACTTCCATATTTCAGTCACTAATAACTTGATCAAATTCTCTAGAATTAGTCTTATTATAAAAATGTTAGGAAAGTTTGGGCAAAGCTAACCTAATTTTTTTTCCCTTTGTGATTGTGATTTTTTTTTTCTCCTTTTGGCTTATGAAAGGAATAAAACATATTCCTACTGAAAAATGGTTGCAAATTCTTTTGAACTACTCTGCAGCTGAAGATACTGAAAGTTGAACTCCGGTATGGACATTGCTGTTACCCAAAAATATGTTCTCTAGCTTGTGTTTCAGTGAAAGTAAGGTTTGTTTAGCCAAATACATGCCTTAGAAAATTGCGTGTCTTGCATGCACAGTGTTGTTTTTCACTGGGTTTTCCACTAAACTCTTAAATTGGCCACTAAGGAACACTGATGTGCATAAGGGCAGGGAACTACAGTTAAATACGTTCTGACAATGTGGCATTGGTGCAGAATACATCCTCACTAAGCTCAGGGATGCTGATACATCCCCTTTTATCACCAGTGTTCTCCTAGCGCTGTCCTAAAGACTACTTTTTTTTCTTTTATGTGCTGTGAGAGTAAAGATTGCCTCCTAATGAGCATTGCTGCTGGTTCTGCAGGACCTGACTTCTTTACAATATATAAGGATTATAAAGTGTAGGATTATTTTTTACTTAAGAGTTGCTAATCTTCATCACAGAAATTCTAGAAATATCAGAGGTTTGGTTTTGGGTTTTGTTTTTGTTTTGTTTTTTTCCAGAAAGAACTCTTAACCCTTTCATACCTTTTTGGGTTTTGAAATGAAAGACTTGGGGACATCAATGTCTCAAGTGTCTTGGTGTATTCCGTGTATCCACATACTTAACTTCTCTCCTAAGAACAAGCACTCAGCAAGGGAAAAATGAACAAAAGCTTCAGGTTTCTACAGCCTTTTACAATCCATTCTGGGTTGGTTCGTTTGTTTGTTTGTTTTTTATAAAGTAAATCAGTTGGGTCCTCTAGTAGTGCCTTTCCTCCCTTTCTCAAATCAAACTGGGGGTTTTTTAAGCTTCCCGCTTCTCTGCTTTGCTTGACTTTGTTATTGTTGGTTTGGTTGATGTTAGGCTGAGGCATTCAGTGAGTGTGTTTGTAGTGAACCAATAGTTATGAATTGTTAGCAGGGAATACAAAAGTTTTTAATAATTTTTATACACTCCATGTCAATTTATGGGGTAAGATTTAACATCAGATTGCTGATTGAGTGTGTAATTTGAAAGCCTCTTCACTAGCAAACATACTAGGAATCTCTGCATTAACTTGATCCTTAAAGAAGAGATTTCCTTACTTTTTCTAGATGATCCTGGAATTATGAGAAATTATTTCATACAAGTCTTAAGCATAATAGTCATTTTAAAAAAAACCAAACAAACCCATGTGTGGTATTGAGAAAAGAATATGAAATTCAGGAGCAAAACTAACGAACCAGATTTCCTCATTACAGTTTTCCTGTTTCTTTGAGCCTCCGCCTTTGTTCCTGTCTGTTTTAATAAAAATTACTTTTTTTTTAATCAGCTTTACATTGACTTGCAAATTGTTTTGTGCATTTTAGGTGCTTCATTAAATTTAAAATAAAAAAAAAAAGAAAAGATAGATCACTAATAGCATATGCATTACTGTAAAACAATCTGGTTTATCTGCATGTTGCCATCACAAGGCATGTTATGCAGTAAAATTAATTCTCCATTCACTCTTATTGTTACATTTAAATATTTTGATCTTCTTTCCTTGATGACTGTGTTCTCTTCAGCTTTCCTGGAAGCTGAGGTAAGGGCTGGAGAAAAGAGAGACTTGGTGTCAAAAAAAATACTTCAGTTTTGGGAACTTTCAAGTGCTTTATTTTTTGAATGTTAATCTGACTTCAGTCTAGCATACTAGACTTGGTACTTTCATTAAAATAAATGCACATTTTTTAATGTATGTGCTTTATAGAGATTAAAAATAAAGATGAAATGAGCTCCTCTTGGAAAAAGCAGAAGTATAAAAAGCAGTGGTCACAGGTTCCAGGGAAGAAATTTACAACTGGATATGGGAAAGGAAAATTGGCCCTGCGGGTTGTCAGATGCTGGAGCAAGCTACCTGGAGAGGCTGTGGAATCTCCAGCTTTGGGGATGCTCAGAACTTGACTGAACGTAACTCTGCTTTGAGGAGGGAGTTGGACCAGTTGACGTCTAGAGATCCATTTAATCCTAAATTTTTCATAATCCTGTGATGCTTTGTTGCTGGTCCGTATTTGAGTCACAACTTGTCCTACATAATATTAGAGTTCATAGTAGTCAAGTGCAAAAGGAAAGCCTTATCGTCAGGTTATAAATATTTTTAAATCTTAAATTCATCTTCAGGTTGTTTCAGTGACACATTTTTTCAGATTCTTCTGAGATAATATACATCAAGAAACAGGGAATTTCTTCACACAAAATAGTATAATGAAAGAATATTATTATCTTGTGATCTTACCAGCTTGTTATCACTGTAACTGGTTGGTTTCTAGTAAGTTGCATTTCCTACTACTACTACCACTACTTATATCTGCATTTGAAGACGGGTATTAGATTTGGAATTGTCATATTTATAATAAATTGAGATCTAGATACATGACTGGAGAGGTGACTTGATTGCTGATAAAAATTGTTCTGGTCATGACTTTTTTTTTAAAAAAATGTGTATAAATTTTAAAGTTTTTCAGTTCAGGACTATGACGCTGAGTCCTTTTCCATTCCCAAGGGATTATTGCAGCCGTATGGCCTGTTTTAACAAGAAGTTTGTTCATGATCTACATTTCACTACTGATCTCTTGTCTCAAATTTCCAAAAGCATGAAACCTAAATTCTGTTAGTTGATGCTTATTAGGCATTTTATAAATGCATACAAAAGCAGCAAGACTTGTATTTTTTTCTTTTGCTCTGCTTGTGCTGAAATTTAAATACTGGACACTGAGGTGTGCGTGCCTGACACAGCGCAGCGCCACGCACATACGCCCACTCTGGCTGTGAGGCACCTTCAGTACTAGAACCAGTACAGCCACGTTAAATTAGCCCATAACCAGAGGCTAGTTAGCCCTGCTGAGAAACAGGCTGTATTAATTAGCTTTTGTAACAACAGTAGTCAGCACTCACTTAAGGACGTGCGAAACAGAAGTTTTATAAAAATATATTATTTCTGACATAACGTTTTTCTGGATCTTCTAAAGAATTTTCTTTTTTGCTCTATACATCTGTGCGTTTTTTGAACGTCATACCTGTTGTTATGTGCAGACAAACTTAAAATTGGTTTTTAAACTGATGTTTGCACGTCTGTAGTCTTATTTCTAAAGAATGAGAATTTCTTAAACCTGTTGGTGTGTAATTGAAACGCAGTTTGTGTACTTGATTATTACATTGCAGTAAGTCTCGTATTCCCCATACATTAAAATACACATTCCAAAATAAGCCAGATGTTTTTGGAGCAATTTTGATCTTGTCTCTGAAGCATACATACGTATGTACTCCTTGTAGGCAGAAGTCAATTCATCCAGGAAGTCTGATGCTGGACCCTCAGACACGTCAGGATTGAACCACTCTGTTGCTTTACATGAGCCCCGGCAGGATGATTCAGCTAGAGCATTCCAGGATCCAACAAGTGCAACGGTATGGTCTGTCTTTGAGCTTTATCGATGCAAGTACAGCATAGTCTGAACATGAAATTAATACTATTAAGCTGATCAGAGGCTTTGTTAAGAGTATGTAGTTCATACATCAATTCTAGAGCTTCTGCATACTTTTTTATAAAATCTGTGCGTAAACTTTAGCAAATAGTATGCTGAATCACTTTTAGAAATGGTGATCTCTTTGCTTTCACTTCTTTCTCTTAAAAACAATAAATAATGTTCTTTCAGCAATTCTTGTTCCCAGTAGTTCCTTTAATGTATGGGTTAACAGTTCATTAAAATATTGTGGTGTCTGGAGTGCTACAGTTTACCATCTGCATAATAAATCACGAGTTTTTGCAACAGAATTCTTAGCCAGAGGCAAAAAAAAAATGTTTCAGTGATAATATGTAGCTTTTAAATGTTAATTAAGGATATCTTCCTGTTTTTTATAGCCTCTTAAGTGTCTGACTAAAATATTCTTACTGTTTGAAGTATGACACTTATGTTTTAATACTGCTAGGTGTAGGGCTTACATAATGATTTCAGAAGTGACCGAAGCCTGGTGGTGGGCCAAAGCAGCTGCTGTTGTGACTGTGGCAAATGCAATCTAAATTCACTGATAAATTGCAGGCAAATCCCAGCTAAGCTGTCTTTTCTAGAGAAGATGGGGCTGCAAATCATTTAAAAAAACTAAAACACATCAAGTAACGTCAGACCATCTGTTCCGTGTTTGCAACATATTTTCAAGCTATATAGAAATACAAACATGCTAATAGCATACTTTTTTTTTTTCCCCACAATAAGGATTTTTCCAGATTGTTCAGGATTTAATAAACCATTTTATTTTATTCTTACTACAAATCCTGGCTAATATAGTAGAACTAGCCAAAATACCAAGGCATTGCTGGCATTTTCTTGAGGAAAAAGAGACTGATTTTTTTTTTTTTTTAATTAATCCCATTTCTAAGAAATTTGTTTTGAACAGTTATGCTGATGTAATAAGTAATGATTAACTTAATTTTCAGCTGAACAGTCTCATGTGAAATAAGACCTTTAAATATATAAATGTATGGAAAAAAAAAAATATATATATATATAAAATAAACTGTAAATGATGAAAAGTGGGTTCATGTTTTAAGGAATCAGACTGTCACACTCACGATTGTTAGTTTGAGTTTGAAGCAATACCTGTGTTTTTGAGCTACCAGATATTGAGCGTTAGGGATTTTCTGGAGGGGTGAAAACTTACAGCCACACAATGGAAGAAAGAAATGTGTAACAGGAAAGACTATTGTAAAGCTTAGAGCTTGCTATTTTTGTGTTCTTATTCATCCAGAAGTTAATAGAAATCCTCTCAAAGCAGGGGGCTGGAGGCCTTGATCTGCTAACAGACGTGAAAGAGTATCCATGCAAACCTCAGACCTTTCTACTCGACTGGGCTTCTTGCATGTTTAAAATCAGTTTGTTGGGCTAGTTCTTGTTGCGTAAAGACCTAGATTCTACCTTACTAAGATGTAAGTGCTAGATGTGGGCAACATCAAAACTGTTTTTTTCTCTTGGATGTTTACCACTTACTCTACAAATGTGTGTTTAATTAAAAGCCATTGTAGAAAATGTGCTGTTGTGAAATTGAAATTTATGCCCTTTGAGTATGAAAAGGGCAGAGGTAGACCCAGTGCTAAATCCTTGTGTTAGTTTGCATAATTTCTTCTGTTACAGTAGATTTAATGTGCCTAACTCTGAAGTCATGGGACCTTATGTCCTGCTGCACAATACAGAGGAAAAAAAGTAGCAGTAATCATGCAGGAAGAATGGAATGTTTCCTTTCTTCTGCTCTTAGAACAGTTGTAACCAGTCCTCATTAAAAACATGAGGCAGGTAGGTGCTAAGGAAAGGGTCTATCTCCAGGTGAAGAGGAGTGAATCTGTGGGCTGTGTTTTACTCTTTTCTTACTTAATATGCTTCTGCGTGTTCGCTGATACTTGGTCATTGGTTATGTTGAGAATTTGAGGGCAGTGGATTAGCTGAGCTTTGGGTGAAGTGCTTAGTCTTCTGCTGCTCTCATGCATCTATATAATTTCCTCAAAAAATAATAATAATAAAAAAGCCTTGCAATTGTCAGTGAGGTTTCTCTTGAATTATAGCTGTTCACACAGGTGTATGGCACCTTGTCTCATTCAGAACAGCATCTTTCTGGTTTATTTTTAAAAATTTGCAGTGTTGGGAAGGAACCCAGGTGTGTGACAGCCAGTGCTAGTTACTTTAGTTATTAAATATGAAGGATCAGGAATATCTCTAGACTTCTCTTCCC